GAAATATAATTTAAATTGTGGAGTAAATCTCTTATAAGTGATATGATTAATTACCTTTAATGGAAATGTTCGGTGATAAGTAGTGACAAGTAAAAAGTTAATTGGTTCCTCATTTAATGATATAATTTAATTATATGACGTATTTTTCGGTAATTAAAGTAAATTTTATGATTGGTATTTTTAGTAACAATATTATTATATGCATTTATTTTATAATAATTGTCCCATCTGTTTCGTAATACATTATAATATAAATATTTATAATTTAAAAAAATTTTTTTTTTAGGTGATAAAATTTTGACAGTATGCTGCGTATTAATTACGTTAATCGCCAGACCCCTAAAAAAATTTTTTTCTTTCTTGACATTCCATAAAGATTGTTTGTAAAAAAAAAAAAATAAAGAATTAACGAAATTACCGCGAATAGAATTTTAATTTAATCCATAAAAGTTTGATAACTCATTTATGCATTACGAAAGTTATACTTCATTAAATATGTAAAAAGAAAATCATGTAAAAATTTGACTAACTTTAGAGAGGAAGAGGAATTTTGACAAGTGTTTTCCCTTAATAAAAAAAGAAAAAAAAGTGTAAGACATAATTTATTTTTTACTCTGAAACCCTGTTTCTTTTTGTTTCATATTTTTAATTGGTTAGAAAAATGTTGGAAAATTTGTTAGAAAAACCCCCCCTTTTCTTTCGTGTGTTATACCATTGAACAAGGTGAAATAAAAAGATTAACAATACAATTTTTTCTTTGCTATTATGTTTTTGAATCATTTCCATTTTAAGAAATTCAAACTTTTTTTTTGAAATATGTATGTACCTATATGCTGAGTTTGTATGTTTATTTTTTTTGCATGTCACTTGAATGTTTTTTTATAACATTACAGATGAGTAACCATGAAAAAAAAAAAAGAATCAAAATTTCAAAGATTAAACCTTTCAATTTTTTTTTTTTTTTTTTTTCATATCATTCTTTGATCATAATTTTTCCTTTATCTTCTTCCTTTATCTTCCTTTATCTTCCAAATTCATTTTCTTTGTCTTTAAATCGAGAAAGAAAATTCGGAAAAACAAAAAGAAAAAGATTTAGATAATTTTCACATGTATGACCAAAAATAGAAAAAAATTTTGATTAAATCTCTCATTTTTATTCATGAATGGAAAAAAAAATGAGATATGAGATTACAATTCATCGAAAAATTCATTGTGCGAATATTTTTTAGATAATTTAAATAATAATAATAATAATATCACATTAAAAAAAAAAAAAAAATCTCGTTAAAATCCTTTAAAGGGATACAAGAATCAGCCAAAATAAAATATGTATGTAGAAAAGATCATTGTATTTTGGTACGCCCCACGCCTATACCGCCGAGTCAGCCCATAAATCTGTCGTCATCTAAATCGTTAAAATTTTTTGACACACTTCAAAACTTTATAAAGTTATGCAAAGTTTTTTTGTAAAATTTTTCCAACAAATAAAAACCCCCACATTTTAAAGCACTACAATTCTACAAATTTCACAAAAAAAACTCAACAAAAAATATTACATACATAACTAAAAATAGGAAATTATTCCAAATAAAGAAATTCATCATTTAAATTACAAACTGTTGTCATATTGTGTTCCATTGTGTACGGCTTAAACATAGGCAGATTATTATTTGAACTAAATTTGGGAATGAAAAAAAGGGTAATGAAAGATCTTCAAATGAGATTATGAAATTATGATATTCAGGATTTATGAACCGTCAATGTCAAAAATTTCATGATGGCGTTAAAAAATTTCTTTTTTGCTTGGGTAAAGTTTAAGGTACAGTATATTTGGTATGGTAAATACCCATGATAACGTTATTTGTGTCACCTTTACCAGTCAATAAAAGGGAAAAAAAAAGTTCCCACTTTATTGACCTAAAATTAATAATAAATTATGTAATTTAACGTTAAAAAACCTGATAAAAATCTTGTTATTAACTCTGCCCAACTTTATTATTTCGAATTAAACTAAATTTATCTAAATGATTTTCTTTAATGTACAAGGTACAACAATGAAAGAACCCTCATTTAGGATAAACATTGACGTACGAACATTTGTATTCGTAGTTATTAAAAATATCTTTTTGAAACTTTGATATTCTTTATAACAACAAAGCACGAGAAATTGTTGATTATAAGATATGCTTATTTATTTATTTATTATTAATTTTTTTTTTTTTTTTTTTTTTTATACGACTGGATGGTGTTTTTATATCTACATGCAATTATTTAAGGTAAAAAAAAACTGGTTCAAATAATAATAATAATAATTCGCGTAATTTGATTGTTTGATTTATATGATAAATGATGAATCTTATTATGGTTTGTTATAACTGCTTTTAGTATGTCACGCGTAAAACGTGTCGCGAATAATCTAATAATATAATAATATTAAAATATATAATTCGAAAACAATTATTAATCTTTTGTAGTAGTCAATGGAGATAAGGAATTTAAGGGAAGAGGCGGGACGACGACTTCCAAATAATTCATAAAATAGATACAAAAAGGGGTTAAATTACCATAAAAAAATTATGTATTCCTTAAATATCAAAGCAAACAATAGGTCATATGTACATCTTACATTACATTTTATGTATGCAACAAAGAAATGTTGCCGAAAATGTTATTATATCCCAGATGTGCAAAGGAAAATGCGGGATCTTTGAAGAAACTTTAGGTTGTGAAATGTCGTACAACACGTGGGTAATAAATAAGAATAATCGCGAAATCTTTTTCCTTTTTTCTTTTAACGATTAATAGTGATGAGAACGTTACCGGTATGCGGTATGTATTGGGTATTGGTCAAAAATTCTAAGTACATATTTTTTTGGCGGTTAAAAAAGAACCATTTTGATTGACAATTGACCTTAACAATAGGTTTGACGCGATTTTCTTCTTTTAAACTTTTGGTTACATTTTACATCATTTACATGAATGAAATCTTTTATATATATTTATTTTTTTATTTTTTTTTAAAA